CGGGGCACCCATATCGAACATCTCTGAAGGTGAGACAAAACTTTGATAGTTTATCTGTCGCTACGTAGCTGTGGTCTGGTTACAGTAAACATACATTTGTCTAAAATTAATTTTCTTATTGGCCTATTCATTTTGACTAACCCTGTACATACAATATCATTTTATGATGAGCTAGATGTTGTTCTGTGTAATCCAGTAGGACTACCAGGAGTTATTGTTCCGGATGGTAAAAATATGTCAGAAATCTCTCCGCTTCCAAAGATTTTATGGCAAAGTGAGCAAAACGCAGGCCTTTCACATGGAGGTGAATCACTTGAACTTCCATCATTGGCTAGAATATCTAGAATTGTTGGCAATTGCAATGTGATTCCATCTGGTAGACCATATGTTGCATCAGTTACTGTGTTTTGCCACTATATATTTTGGAGAAATGTGCAAAATCAATACAGATTTCCTCTTTAATCCAGCTCTTATCACCCAAAATGTGCCCTCTCCCAATGGCTTAATCCTGCATTTCTAATCGGAGGGTTGGGATCCCTAGGGGAGCCTCTAGTGGTGCAAAGGGGTCACCCAATACCATCGGAAAACAGATAATTTTCTGTTGGTCATGGGGGTTCTTTGTGGGAAGTTTGGCCCAATTCTATCATAGGTTGGGTTCAGAATGCTCTTTGATTGTAGGTGAACTGTAAATCCCTGCAACTACAACTCCCAAATGTCAAGGTCTATTTCCCCCAAACTCCACCAGGGTTCATATTTGGGCATATTGGGTATTCGTGCCAAGTTTGGTCCAGATCCATCATGTTTGAGTCCACAGTGCTCTCTGTTTGTAGGTGAACTACAACTCCCAAACTCAATGTCAATGCCCACCAAACCCTTCCAGAATTTTCTGTTGGTCATGGGAGTTCTGTGTGCCAAGTTTGGTTCAATTCCATCATTGTTAGTGAACTATAAATCCCAGCACCTACAACTCCTGAACGACAGCATCCCCCCCCCCCCCCAACCCCACCAGTATTCAAATTTGGGCATATAGGATATTTGTGTCAAATTTGGTCCAGTGAATAAAAATACATCCTTCATATCAGATATTTACATTGCAATTCATAACAGTAGCAAAATTACAGTTATGAAGAAACTACGAAAATAATGTTATGGTTGGGGGTCACCACAACATGAGGATCTGTATTAAGGAGTTGCAGCATTAGGAAGGTTGAGAACCACTGGATTAATCATTTATGGATCAACCAACTTTTCTTTTTTCTCCTGTCAGGATTTTTCCAGGTTTGGAAGTACAAAGAAGTTGCTGGAATTAAGTGGAGAAGAATTAATTCCAGTGCACAGCCTCATATGCGCAGAGGTGCCCTTGATCTCTGGGTGGCGGATCAGGCCTAGTCTCCTGGTGGCTCCATCCCTGGATTCAATGTCAGAAGAAGACAATGAGGAAGAGGACGAAGAGGATGATGAGAGCCCCATTCTGTACACCAAAAGGCTCAAGAGCCAAAAGAAAGAAGGGAATGGTCAAAATGCTGCCATGGTCCAGAAAGCGCTTGGTTCCTCATCTGGAAAGTCCGAGCTCAGTGGAGACAGCCACTTATCCGATGGAACAGACGATGACAGCCCCATTCTGTACACCAAAAGGCTCAAGTGCCAAAAGAAAGAAGGGAATGGTCAAGATGTTGCCATAGTCCAGAAAGCGCTTGGTTCCTCATCTGGAAAGTCCGAGCTCAGTAGAGAGAGCCACTTATCCGATGGAACAGTCTCAGGAAATCCTCAGATGACTAGTGGAGACAGTAATACGTCTGGTTTCTCTGAGAGGAAAAGCAATTCTCTTTCTGAAAATTCATCCACGGATAGTTCCCTTGGTTTTCCGGTTGCTCATCTTGCCTCCACAAAAGAAGGACACGAAAGTGGAGATATAGACCTTTCGTTTCAGTGGACTTTACCAATGAAAGAAGCCGGTTTTCAGTTTCTTTCTGGGTTGCAATTTGGAGGCATAAAAGACCATCTAGATGGACGAGCAGATGATGCCTGGGTCAATCTGGATGAGATCCGAGACAATCTGGACTCTTTCAAGATAGGTTTTGTCAAGGATTCCAGCAGTTGTGATGAACTCTTGGTAGAAACACCTCTGTTGGAAGCTCCTTGTTGTGAGAATGACTTAGAAAATGGGTTACAAGGAGGAAATGGAGACGTAGCTGTTACACTGTTGTCCAACCCTAAGTTCCATAGTTATCGGCCCAAGCTCATTTCTTATATTTCAAGAACCTGAATTGCAGTGTTTTTGGTCTCCTCCTAAAAAGCAAGAGTAAGATGTTCCATAGACAACTTACTCTCTCTGGGACCACATTTTTAGCACAAAAGACCAAAAATGTATACTAAAACAGTGTTTCTCAACCTGGGGGTCGGGACCCTGGGGGGGGGGGTCATGAGGTGGTGTCAAAGGGGTCACCAAAAACCATCAGAAAGCACAGTATTTTCTGTTTGTCATGATGGTTCTGTGTGGGAAGTTTGGCCCAATTCTATCATTGGTGAGGTTCAGAATGCACTTTGATTGTAGGTGAACTATAAATCCCACCAACTACAACTCCCAAATGTCAAGGTCTATTTTCCCCAAATTTCACCAATGTTCATATTTGGACATATTGAGCATTTGTGCCAAGTTTGGTCAAGATCCATCAGTGTTTGAGTCCAAAGTGTTCAGATTGCACTAGGGGTTTCTACAATACCATTGGGAGGGGAAAATTTATCTTGAGACACTGAGTTTTCTCCCCTTTTGAGGGATGTGAGCTTTATATAAGAATGTGGTGTGTTTGTATCATTTTGCAGATGAGCTTAAATTCAAAGGATTCGGGAATCAGTACTGTAGTACTAGGAAAAGTTACTACTTGATGCAGGGCTGGCTTGCCTAGTGAAAGTCTAAATTGTACAAAATGCCAAGTAGGTGAACTACAACTCCAAAACTCAAGATCAATGCCCACCAAATCCTTTCAGGTTTTCTATTGGTCATGGGAGTTCTGTGTGACAAGTTGGGTTCAATTCCACCATTGTTGGAAGTTCAAAATGCTCTTTGATTGTAGTTGAACTATAAATCCCAGCAACTACAACTCCCAAATGTCAAAGTCTATTTCCCCCAAAATCCACCAGTGTTCGTATTTGGGCATAGTGAGTATTTGTGCCGAGTTTGGTCAAGATCCATCATTATTTGAGTTCACAGTGCTCTCTGGATGTAGGTGAACTCCAACTCCAAAACTCAAGGTCATTGCCCATTAAGCTCTTCCAGTATTTTCTCTTGGTAATGGGTGCCAAGTTTGGTTCAATTCCATTGTTGTTGGAGTTCAGAATGCTCTTTGATTGTAGGTTAACTATAAATCCCAGCAACTACAAACCCCTAATGACAAAATCAATCTCCCCCCAACCCCACCAGTGTTCAAATTTGGGCGTATTGGGTATTTGTGCCAAATTTGGTCCAGTGAATGAAAATACATCCTGCAAATCAGATATTTACATTACGATTCATAACAGTAGCCAAATTACAGTTATGAAGTAGCAACGAAAATAATTTTATGGTTGGGGGTCACCACAACATGAGGAACTGTATTGAGAGTCGCTGCATTAGGAAGGTTGAGAAACACTGTACTAAAAGAACAACATTTTTACATAAGCCAAAAAGGGGTGGAGTATCAACTTCTGCACCCTTCAAACAGTATTAATAGTTAGGAATTTTTGTAGTTGTTTTTATGTATGCTTTTGTTCATAGCTGTGGGATATAAGATTGTCTTTCCTGAACTGGCTGATACATGGCTGCAATTGGGGCCACTATATCTGAAGGGAATCCTTGTGTGGAAGAGAAATGTGGAGAAGAAGAAGCAAAATTCATCATCATGAATCTTAGCGCCAAGTCTGATGTACGCCATTTTCACACCTTCCAGATCTTGGCAGGTTACCCCTTTCCCCTTTTTTTTCCAAACCGGAAATAACTACAAAATATACGGGCTGCACAGGAAAGTAATAGCGCTCCATGCAGTCATGACCTTGGAGGTGTCTATGGACAACGCCAGCTCTTTGGCTTAGAAATGGAGATGAGCACCACCGCGCAGAGTCAAACACGACTAGACTTAATGCCAAGGGGAAAACTTTACCTTTATAGGAGCTGCACATTTCTTGCCCTTGCATTACTTATGGGATCAAACTTTGCCATGAAAAAACTGGGAAGCTCTTCCTGAACAAGCAGATCCCATTCGAGACCACCAATCCTTGCTGCGTGTTCAATATGCCAGTTGCAGAGCTACTAAAACAAAGCTAAGTTATCCATATTTGCAGCTTTCTCTAATCTGCTGCCTTCCAAATCGATATAATTCCCAACCAATTCCCATCATCCCCAGTCTTTCCCCCTTTCCTAGTAGTCCTGCTCCCCTAAAGCCAGCAAATGTGGAGGGATGACGATATATCTAAACATTGAGTTGAGCATACGAACAAAAGAGTGAAAAACAATCAAGGGAGAAGATGGGTTTGCTGTGAGTTTTCTGGGCTGTATGGCTATGTTCCAGAAGCATTCTCTCCTGATGTTTCGCCCACATAACGGAGAAGATGTTCATATTTGGGCATTTGCGCTTGACGGGGACGAGAGACAGGGCCTTCTCAGTGGTGGCCCCTCGGCTATGGAATGCCTTGCCGACAGACATCAGACAGGCACCTTCGTTGCTGACGTTTCGGAGAATGGTCAAGACCTGGCTTTACGAACAAGCGTTTGGCTAAGCAATGCAACTAATCAAGGAAGACGGTAAATGGAACATAGGAACGGCACAACGACTATGAGAACGGATCTGATTTCAACTGAGGCGTTATATATGTTGTTTGTTGATTTGTCCTGTCTGATTGTTAATTGTTGTGGATCGACGTCGTCGATCCTGTTGTTGCATTGTTGTGTTTTAATTGCACTGTAAACCGCATTGAGTCGCCTGTTAAGGGCTGAAAAATGCGGTATAAAAATGAAGCAAATAAATAAATAATAAATAAATAAATAAATGGAAGAAAATCAGCCCTATAGGATCCACTTCAGAACAGACTGCTGCTATTTTCTTTAATTGTAAACATGCACTTCTTTTCCTTTTGCCATCATCCTTGTTCACAGGGATTTTTTGTCAGGAGCGACTTGAGAAACTGCAAGTGGCTTCTGGTGTGAGAGAACTGGCCACCTGCAGGTTGTTGCCAAGGGGACACTTGGATGTTTGATGTTTTACCATCCTTGTGGGAGGCTTCTCTCATGTCCCTACATGGGGAGCTGGAGCTGACAGAGGGAGCTCAACCTGCTCTCCCCTGATTTGAACCGCTGACCTGTCAGTCACTGGCACAACTGTTTAACCCATTGCACCACTGGAGGCTCCATGTTCACAGTGATGGGGACTGGGAAGAATATACGAGAGTTGAATGAAAAGTAATGCCTCCACCTTCGTTTGGATGGGAATATTTTAATAAATCAAATGCAGAAATAATCCTTAGAATATGCTCTTTAGCTACCACTATTCACTTTTCCACAAATCACCAGAAAATTGGATATATTTCTGCAAACAAGTTTTCTGAAGCCATCATGGAAGAAGTCGACACTCTGTTCCGCAACCAGTGTCTCACAGTCCTCTCAACGTCTTCATCAGAAGCATAATGATGTCCCCACAGATCTTCTTTCATTATCAGGAACAGAAGGAAGTCAGATGGTGCTAAATCTGGACTGTATGGAGGATGTCGTACGGTGGTGAGATCCAGTCCCTGAAGTTTCAAGTCCGTGCGCTTTCATTTCAGGCAACAGCATTCTGGGTACCCATCGTGCACAGATCTTCTGATAGCCAAGCAAAGCAATAATGTGACCCACACATTCTTGTGAAATGCCGATTATGCTTGAAATTTCTCTCTGAGTGATACAACGATCATCCTGAATCAATCTGTCAACCTTTTGCTTGTGAAACTCAGTGGTTGCTGTCACAGGACATCCAACTCTTTGTTTGTCATGCAAGTCAGATGTTCCCACCTCAAAATCTTTAAACTTACTCGCCCAACGACATACAGTACTCACATCAACACAATCACCATAAACAGATTGCATTCTCTGATGAATCTCCTTTGGGATGACACTTTCTGCTGTCAAGAATTCAATGACTGCACATGGCTTAAGTCGCATTGACTGACCGTCTGTGCAGGGTTCCATACTTCGCACTTCAACAGCATAACCATTCAATGCTAAGGCTTCCCACCAAAATGGAACTGTAAAGGAGATTCTACTGAACAAGCCAGTACCTCCTACGTACCAGTACTGCCATCTGTTGAGTTAGGAAGGTGGAGGCCTTACTTTTCATTCAACCCTCATTTTACCCTTTTCTTCCAGTATTTAATGCAATAACAACAGTTTCTACATTGTGTACAAGGTCAACTTGAGGGTGCTAAAGAAAGCCTGAAGGACAAACCCAAGAAGTTAATGTCAACTGTTCATTGGGAAATAAAAAGTTACAGGATTGGGCATCATAGCTTGGGTTGCCATAGTCAAAACTGGGGAGGTCTGTATTTTAATGCTTGTGTCGAAAAGGGAGTTCAGCAGGTGTTGCTTATCATAAAACCAGTCACCTGCCAAAATTCTACATAACCATTTCCAGTTTTTCACTCTGGCAACTCTTATTTGTAATTTAATTTAATTTAATGAATGCATCAGTAGAAGTGCAATGGTTTGAAGCAGAATGATACTAATGACCGGGCCTTCTGAACCCAGATGTTATTGTGATCCATGTTTCTATCTTCAACTATGTATATAAATATGATTGTTTGTTATGTATATCTCATACCAAATTCATGGTGCGTGCTCTTCATTTACTGGTGACGAAAGGGTTGCATAGATAGACCACTTTGTGTTGTGGATCTTGTGGATCCTAGCTGGAATATCACTTGGAGAAGAGAAGCCATCTGCTAGACATGGCAAGCCAGGATGATGGCTTTGGCCACAGCTTTACCTATAAGCAAGGGGTTCTCAACCTGGGGTCCCCAGATGTTTTTGGACTTCAACTCCCAGAAATCCTAACAGCTGGTAAACTGGCTGGGATTCCTGGGAGTTGTAGGCCAAAACACCTGGGGACCCACAGGTTGAGAACCACTGCATAAGCCTTTTACTCTTACCTTTTTTAGGCTAGGTGGTATTTGTCCCTGCCCCAACGAGGTCCTTAGACTCCAACACACTGTAGCAGGGAAGTGTTTGGTAGAGTAGAGCTCAGTCATACTCAGTTTTGAAATGAAACAGATGATTTTCTAACCTTCATCACACTGTTAAATGTATCCGTGTTGCTCAGTTGTACTCAGCATTCTTTCAGCTGATTTTTGTCCTCACACTGCAGTCGCTAGGTACTGCCCACCATCCCTTTCCCGTATTCTTTGTGGGGTAAAAACCCTCTTCTCTTTGAAATGTCAGTTAATACGTGTCTTCAATTCAGGAACCAAGGAAGCAGGGAGGGAGAGAAAGTTGTGATGCTCTCTCTCTCTCTCTCTCTCTCTCTCTCTCTCTCTCTTGGCTGCCCCACAGAGAAAGGTGTGGACCTTGGAAAACTATAATTCCCAGGACTGCATAGCATGGAGCTATGGTATTTAAAGTAAGGTCCAGCTGCATTAATTTCACAGTGTACATGCACCCAGAGAAGGGTAAGGACCTTGAGAAACTCCCAGGAGGACTCCATCGCATGGAGCCATGGCATTTAGAGTGGGGTGCAAGGGTATTTATTCCATACTGTAAATGCACCAAGACAAGGGTATGGACCTTGGAAAACTATGACTCCCAGAATATCTGGAATACTGTGTCTAATTCTGGGCACCACAATTGAAGGGAGATGTTAAGCTGGAATGTGTCCAGAGGAAGGCAAAATGATCAAGGGTCTGGAGAGCAAGCCCTATGAGGAGCAGCTTAAAAAGCTGGGCATGTTTAGCCTGAAGAAGACAAGGCTGAGAGGAGACGTGATAGCCATGTATAAGTATGTGAGAGGAAGTCATAGGGAGGAGGGAGCGAGCTTGTTTTCTGCTTCCCTGGAGACTAGGACACGGAGCAATGGCTTCAAACTACAAGAAAGGAGATTCCATATAAACATTAGGAAGAACTTTCTGACTGTGAGAGCTGTTCAGCAGTGGAACTCTCTGTCCCGGAGTGTGGTGGAGGCTCCTTCTCTGGAGGCTTTTAAACAGGCTGGATGGCCATCTGTCGGGGGTGCTTTGAATGCAATTTTCCTGCTTCTTGACATGGGGTTGGACTGGATGGCCCACGAGGTCTCTTCCAACTCTATGATTCTATGCACAGCATGGAGACATGGTAATAATAATAATAATAATAATAATAATAATAATAGGATTGAAAATGGGTCCCTACTGCAGTTATTATTTATTTATTTATTTATTTATTTTATTTGTACCCCGCTAGCATCTCCCGAAGGATTCGATGCGGCTTAAAAAGGCCAAGGCCTCAATAAAACAACAATATAACAGATACACATAAACCATAAAACAAATCAAAACATGAAAGCAATAACAATAAACAGTAAAAACAGTACACATAGCACAATACAGCTAAGGCCGGGCCAAGTGTTACGGGTACAGATTATAAAGTGCTGAGTGTGCTAATGAAATATAAGGATGGTTAGGTAAGTGCAGTGAGCGGACAATCTTAAAATCTCTAATAAAGTGCTTCTGGGACGTGTTGCTGGAGTTTCCTATTCTGGAAAGGCACACTGGAATAGCCATGTCTTCAAACTCTTCCTAAAGACTGCCAGCGTAGGGGCTTGTCTGATGTCCTTGGGAAGGGAGTTCCAGAGTTGGGGGGCTACCACAGAGTAGGCCCTATCCCTTGTCCCCACCAACCGCGCTTGCGACGCAGGTGGGATCGTGACCAGGGTCTCTCCGGATGAGCGAAGGGAGCGTGCGGGTTCATATACGGAGATGCGGTCACGCAGGTATGCAGGTCCCAAACCGTTTAGGGCTTTGTAGGTGAGCACCTGCACCTTGAATTGGGACCGGAAAATGAACGGCAGCCAATGGAGCTCCTTAAACAGGAGGGTTGAGCTCTCTCTGTAAGGAGCACCAGTTAACATCCTGGCCGCCGCCCGCTGGACTAGCTGAAATTTCCGAGCCATTTTCAAGGGTAGCCCCATGTAGAGCGCATTAAAGTAGTCCAATCTGGAGGTGACTAAGGCATGGACCACGCCAGCCAGATCAGCCTTCACGAGGTAAGGTCGCAGTTGGCGCACGAGTCTCAGTTGTGCAAAAGCCCTCCCGGCCACCACCGACGCCTGAGCCTCAAGCGTAAGTGATGAATCCAAGAGGACTCCCAAACTGCGGACCTGTGACTTCAGGGGTAGTGTAACCCCATCCAGCACAGGTTGCCACCCTATACCCCGATCTGGTTTTTGATCAACCAGGAGGTCCTCTGTCTTGTTGGGATTGATCTTCAGCTTGTTCTTCCTCATCCAGGCAGCCACAGCGGCCAAGCACTCGTCCAGCACTCGAGGGGCTTCCTTGGAGTTAAGTGGAAATGAGTAGTAGAGTTGTGTGTCATCTGCGTAGAGATGGCACCTAACTCCAAAACTCCCGATAACCTCTCCCAGTGGGTTCATGTAGATGTTAAAAAGCATGGGAGATAAAATAGAGCCTTGCAGGACCCCACAGGTCAAAGGCCAGGGGTCCGGACAGGCATCTCCCAGCTTCACCATCTGGGATCGGCCCTCCAGGAAGGATCGGAGCCAGGACAAAACCGTGCCCCCAAGAACCATCCCAGAGAGCCGTCCCAGAAAGATACCATGATCGATGGTATCGAAAGCCACTGAGATGTCCAAGAGGACCAACAGTCACACTCCCCCTGTCCAGCTCTCTACGGAGGTCATCCACCAAGGCAACCAAAGCCGTCTTGGTGCCATGGCCAGGCCTGAAACCAGACTGTGACTGGTCCAGGTAATTGATGTCATCTAGAAAACCCTGGAGCTGGGAGGCGAACACCTGCTCCAGCACCTTGCCCAGGAAAGGGAGGTTGGAGATTGGTCTGTAATTGTTCAGCACCATGGAGTCAAGGGAGACTTTTCTGAGGAGTGGGCGAACCACAGCCTGTCTTAGTCAAAATGGAAAAAACCCCTGCTCCAATGATGCATTAATGATCAACACAAACCAATCAACCAACCCCTCCCTGGCCGATTTAATTAGCCAAGATGGGCAAGGGTCTAAAGACGACGTGGTCGCCCTCACAGTACCAAAGACCTCCTCCACGGTCTCAGGAAGAACAAGCCTAAAAGAATCCCACAAAATTGAACAAGCAGATGCCTCAATCACCTCTCCTGGCACTGAGATGAAATTGGAGTCCAGCTGAAGGCGTATCTGAGCAACTTTGTCTGCAAAATGGTGTGCGAACTCGTAACACCGAGCTGTTGGGTCATCGAAGGTCCCCTCCACCGCAGGTGGATTAAGGAGTTCCCCAACAACCCGAAACAGCTCCGATTTTGTTGCAGACGCTATACGGGTAAAGGGGAAAAGGAAGGGGCCTGAGGCTGTTAGGAATGGTGGGAGTTGAAGTCCAAAACACTTGGAGGCTCCAAATTTGCCCATGCCTGCTCTAGACTGTGCTTGGTCGGATTCGTCCCATCCTCCACCAGCGGCACTCTAGAAGTGCTTTGCCCTGCTTAGCTTCCAAGACTAGACAAGATTTAGTGCCTTTAGGCAATTGCAAATGGATCATCTTCAGGAGGCCATGGAAATGTTAAAGTCTCAAGCACACAATATCATTTGCCTCATTAAACAGGCAAAAGGCAATACAGACATACTTTGTAATCCTAGCAAGGCCATTGGTTTCGATAGTATATTTGTTAAAGGAGGGCTTTGTTACTTCTGGTAGAGGAGAACTAAAGCAATTAGGTGTTTATATTAGCTTCTGTGTAAGTATTGGAACTATGGCTTCTGTAAGGGCTTAGAAATGCTGCATTTGGGAACCACAAATCCCAGGGTACCACAGTCAGCATGGCCAAGGGTCA